CTGTTTCCCGCTGGATACAGGGGATGGTGGCTCTGTACGAACCTCGAGCATCGCTCCCCAGCGGCAGGGTGGCCCGAGCTGAGCGACCTGCGCTGTGGCTGCTCGGCATCGGTTGGCTGCGGGCAAGCAGCGAGGGTTTCTCTTGCTGCACGAAGCACGTTTTGGAGGTTCCTGCCCTGCTCACCCTGTCCCCTGTGTCCCCTTTCCCTTGGCACGTTCACAGGGCGGTGCGCTGCCTCGAAAAAATCCCTAAACACCGACGGAGAAGTGAATTTGTGGTTGCATTGGTGTAGGTGCAAGATCCACCTGCAGAAGAAATGCGAGGACATGAGGTGGGAAAGGACGTTCAGTGTCTCTGGGGAGGAACAGGAGCCCGTGGATGATCCCAGGTGCTGGGCAGTGGGTCCATGGGTGCTGAGCCCAGCCACTGGTGCCATGCTGCTCTGGCAACAGGCTGTAAAGAGATATATGTTCCTCTCCGCAGGGTACACGGCGGTGTGTAGGACAAGAGATACTTGGCTGCAGTCAAAATCAATAGAGGAAGCAGTAAAGTTAAAGATCACATAGCTGAAACGGTGATTCCCGAGGCAGAAAATTCACTCCTGGCTGTTCTGGGGTCAGCAGAGATCTGTCATCCGGGGAGCCGCAGAGCCCAGCCTGGATCCCTCCGGATCGGCGGCAGTGAGGGACAGGGCTGGGTCCCGGGTGGTCCTGCGGGTCCGTGGGTGTCCCTGGGGAGGGGACCCGCACTCGGGGTCAGCTTGGTGAGCAGGGAAACACGATCAGGGATTGAGAGGAAATGAAATGAGCTCGGGAGCAGATCATCAGTGATTGCCTTTGTGTAAACAAATCGATGTCCAAGCCGGTGCCGTACCCGCCTGTTGCTCTGAAGAAGCCGGTTTCGTGGGGGTGAGGATTCAGCTGTGTGCAATCGGGAATTATGGACACGTATCCGTGTGCCCAGAAAGTCACAAGCATGAGCAGATGCTTTTTAAAAAATTAACTCACGGAGGAGAAAGGGGAAGTGGATAGAAATGACCATAAATTATAAATGAGGCTTTGCAAAAACTACAAAGGGAGAAAAAGGACATTGGCACCCAGCAGCGTCTGGAATAACAGACGGGAGTTTGTCTCTGCGGCGAACAACGGGGATCTCGACAATAGTGTTTGCTGGTCGTGTGGGTAGAGGAGGCAAAAAAGGGAAGGCGTTTGCTGAAAATACTTCTGTCTTCTATTTTAAAAAAAGCAGAGGATGTTGTTATATCACAGAGTGAGGAATAAATTGGTTCTGTTCCAGTAGAAATTTGGAAGTTTGTTAGGCAGTGATTACAAAATCTAGAATGTTGGGTTTTTTGAGTCAGCAGGTCCAGTAATTTGCAAGCAAGTGCTTGAGAAGAGCTGGCCACACTCTGCATCCTCACTGCTGATCCTTCGTGGGATCTGGGGACTGGAGGAAGCTCCCAGGAGGAGGGCGAAGGCAGAGCCAGACACGGCTGCAACGGGTCCAGCACGGAGAGTGGAGCCCCTGGCTTGGGGGTGCTCCTGGGGAAAAACCCTCCAGAGAGGGACGCGAGTAGGTGGCTTCAGGAGGACGATGTAATGGTGTTCTGCATCAGGTTTAGAGAACTGGGTCTAGCCAGGATAACTTTATCCCTTTTGATGAGATTACAAGCAGGACCAATACAGATAATAAAGTTGGTGCAATCATATGACTGCATGTTTCATGGCAATTTAATTAAGAAACTGCCAGCAACACACTAAAAGGATTAAAATCCAACCAACGGGCTTCGGAAAAAGAAAAAGAATTTATTACAAATGGGGAGAAGCTGCAGCCATTCGAGCTGCCGTTACTGTTCCTTTCTCCGTCTCCCAGGCAGGTGTCTGTCCATGCTCGGCATGGCCACATGTCCCCTGGTGCGGGGGGCTCTGGTCCTTGGCTGGAGCAGAGGGCACAGAGGAGGGAGAGCAGGAGAGGAGAGGCAGCCCGGCTGGAAAGGATGCTGTCAGCAGAGGAGTGAACAAGCAGATGATGAAGCGAGCTGTGGGGAATAGAGAAATTAGATCAGATGCAGGCGCAGCGTGAGGAAGGCAGCAGAAGGGGCTGGTTGGAACCTGGCGAGGTGGTTGGGGTGCGGGAAGAAGTCCCTCGCAAGATGGTGAAATGTTTTAGGCTGTCAGGTCAGCTTAAATCAGCGGTGCAAAGTGGGAACAGGTCCCGCGGCCAGCGCAGGCGGCGGAGCTCTGGCTGCCGGGGGGGGTCCCGCATCCCCTGGGCAGAGCACAGGGATGGAGGGGTCTCCGAGGGTCTGCGCATCCCAGCAAACCCCGAGCTAGAGCCCCCGTGGGGGACTTCTGCCCTTGTGGAGGGAGACTGTCCTCCCAGGGGACGTTCCTGCTGTTGGTATGTTTGCAGAGAAGCTGTTGGTTATGATGGGGGTGAGCAAACCCTCCCTGAGCCAGGCGAGCAGGGCTGCTGCATCTGAAACCAGCTCGTCTGCGGCTCCCGGGGTCCTGCCAGCTGCCGCCGCTCCCACAGAGCCGCGATTGTCTCCTCCTGCTGCTCGCCCTGGGCAGGAGTGTGCTGCGAAACTTGATTTATGCAGAACCAAATTGCATTTCATAGCGCGATTTTGCTCTGCTTTGCCCTTTTATGTTTTAGGGTTGAATTGCCGGGACTCTGCTGCCTCCGCCACAATACTCTGTATTAAAATAGATTTGATACAGATAGAAATGATCCATTTATTTCCTCTTATTGATGGGCCTTCTTACAATAGCACAGGAGCTTGCAATGCAGCAGTCTGCAGTTGCTATGTGAAAACAGGCTCTGAGCTCCCCCCTCCCTGCATAGAGAGGGTTGTTTTTAAGGCATGTGGTATTAAGTTAGGCTTCTCGCCTTCTAAAGGGGTTGTTTTCCAGACACTGGAGACAGAGAATTTAAGTGAAAATACCTTTGGTCTAACACTTTGTAAAGATACAAAAGAAACGTGCACAGGCACGGGAATGCTCTTTCTGCACCCAGGATAGAGCTGTGGCGGCTGCTGGTGGCAGGCGGGTACCTCCCAAGGCAGCGTTCCTGTCCCAGACCCCGGATTTACAGATGCATCAGGGCTTAGTCTGTTCTGAGGCTTGTACCTGTGGTGAGATGGATCAAAACGGGAGCTGGTTACGCCCGGATCCCTCTTTATCCCGGTTTCCCGACTCCTGTACCTGGTTCTTCCTCTGGCCCCTCAGAGGAGAGATAACGCTCGAGGGCTGTTTGCCAGCAGCGTGCTAAGAATCGTCACTTTGCTCTCGCCTTGGTGTTAGGATGATAAATACACGTGTAAATGCAGAAAGTACCAGAGATAAAAGGGGCGACAAATGGGCTGTGCTGCCTCCGCTCCCCGAGGGGGAATGGGATGCTCGCTGCGTGCTTGCGAGGGGCAGGGACGGTTTTAAGCTCTGCTTTTATAACTGCAGGATAATAAGGCTGCAGAAGGAGCCACGTAGTTTTAAATTATGCTAAATATAAGTTATTTCTTTACCTTAGCTTTCATAAATCCAAACAAGTGCATAAATAAAGGCGTGAGGTGTTTTCCAGAAGGCTGGAGCATCTCTGCCTTTTAATGCTGACATTTGGGCATCATTTACAGCACAGCTGAGAGCCGTGGAAGAGAACACTGAAGATGATTGCTGTTAAAATCTTTCCTTTTCATCTTACAAAAAAACAACAGAAAACCCCGCAAACTTTCTAACCTCTAAATTCAGCAGCGATGGCTGTGTGTGAGGAGGCATCGTGACATCCCGGATTAACTCACCCGAGGGAAGAGCCTCGTGACTGTGGGCAGGATGATTTGAGGCTGGCTGGCTGCTCCGAGGGGTGTGAATATTCAGAAGGAATTCAGCTGAAAAGCTCTGGCCACGGCGCCTTTACGGTGCGTTTGACTCTCCTCCGTCCACAGCGTGCGGTGCGAGGGACCGCGGTGGCTCCTCCTGTCCCCTGCCCTGTGCCAAGGGGCTGCCCAGGGCAGGGGCTTCCCAGTGTGCGAACCCCCCGAGGTGAGAGCAGCTGAGCATCCCTTTGGGCAGAGCGGAGGAGCACCGCCAAACTCCGAGCTTGACTTTGCACATCTGTCATTCACATTTCAGATGTTTATTTTGTCATTTCTTAATTACGCCACTGCTGTCTGAGCTGCTCGTCACTGGTGGCTGAAGCTTTTGGGGTTTCCTGCGCTCGGCTCTGGCTACAGCAGGTCACATTTTCTAAATGCACGCAGGAAGACGAATTAGGGCAAGATATTTGGCGTTACTTATCTTGACTGTTTTGCTCCATTAAAAAAAATTATTGTCTAGTCACATTGATGCATACAAATATAGCTCTAGCAAATTTATCTCCAAGTTCACAGCACAGGAAAAAGAATGTTCCAGAACATGCTAATGCGATAATTTAATATTTTAAAATTGCAAATCTGTGATCTGAAATTATAATATTACGGTGCTGTTGTTGTGTGAGGCAATCAGAAATGGAGATTCAGAGAAAACATTTGCACAATAATAGCTGCCGTGCACGTCTGGGCGCCGGGTGCAGGTATGCAGTAGTTGCATCTGCTGAAAGATGAGAGCTGACTGCGAGTTGGCAGTTTTGAAGGTTTGGGTCTGTAATCCTGCTGTGGAAATGGTCTGATGACAAATGCTGCTCTTCTCTCGCTGCCTTTATTC